GTGAGAAAATATCATCATTGAAAGCAGAAACCAAATTAGCCTGGTGTGCAGGAATTTGGGAATTTTAGGAGGGTCAGGTGGCATTGCATCTGGTCCCCAAGAAGGAAGAGCTATGGGTCATACAAGCTACACATCAGTTCTTGAGGATTCGGCTGAAAACTCAAAAAGAGAGGCGGGAGAGAACCAAGGCTCTTCAAAATCCCCCCAAATCCTCTTCAGCTGTAGAACACCACACCTTTGGAGAGCCCTGCTCTCCCCAAATGGCCCCAGATACTCACTGCTGTGCTTTGTACAATGAGTGATAAAATTCAGAAATTCCCAGGGACAAAGAGAAAGCTCTTTAAATTCAAAAAATATCTGCCAACTGTCAGTTGGCTGGACTAGTCATGCCAGATACCAAGAGCTGACCCTAAAACCACTTCCTCCCCAGGCCTCTCCTTCCCACTGGAGCAGATGCCAATCATGGTTGTTGTTTCTCCCCACCATCTCTCAGGGCAGCCAGATTCCAAGCCACCAGACAAAGGCTGAACCCAGATAGGCGTCGAACAGAGAGGGGCGTCAGGCCCCTTGAGCCAGGCATGATCTACCCCTTGTATAATATTCACCAGCTCGCCTGCACCTACAGGACACATAAAAGTGGGCATCGGCCCATTTCCCATCAGAAAATGGAAGTTCACAAATAATTTTCCCTGGCCACTTAGCAGTGGGGTCTAAAGGGGTCTCCTGCCCTGTTCAGCCCAAGAGGCACAGAGATTCCTGCATGTGGAGTTCAGGTTGCAAACTATGAGAGAATCCCCCATCTAAGAGGATGCGTGACCCCACCCTGCCTGTGGGGCTTGCACACCTGGGAGGGGATGACAGGCTGGACACTCCCATACAGACACGGCCACTCCTACCTGTGCTCCTGCAACCTCCGGAGCTCAAAATGCCTGATGACATTCATGGTTGGAGTGGTGGTGACAGTGGTGAGTGTCCCCCACCCCCGGCAGAGCTGGGCTACTTCTGCAGTAGCCTAGTTAACTGTCATTCTCCTAATGAACAAAAACCCTTTTAAAATTCACACCCGATGAGCAGCATCGGCTCCCCCTTGGCAGGTGGCAGGTCAGCTCTTGGCCCCTCACTAAAGCCACCCCAGGTCATCTCTTGTCATGCTCCTCAAGTCACTAGACACTGGGGACAGCCTGGCTCTGAAAAAAAGACTAGCAAGGCCCAAGAAAGTGTCCTCTGTCTCTCCTCCCCTGTTCTCCCCCAACCAACCTCTCTCCATTCTACAAACACCCTGAAAAGGGAAAGGAAGAGCAGAAACTGTGTCTGGACCCAGCCTGGAGCTGGTTACCCCGTGTGACTTCCTTGGCACTTACTCTTGCTGAAAAGGCAACAATGGGTCCTGCCTGGCTCTCACCTCCCCTTTCAGCTCCTTCTCTGTAGGGCCTCTCCTGCATGCTGACACAGCCTCCTGGGTCGGTCTCCTAGCTGCACAGCCATCTGCCCAGGATTGGGGTTTGTTTTCTTAATTATTTCAAAATGCTAACATGGGAGCCCAGGAGCTGGCAGGGGCCTGGCCTTCAGTGGCTGCTAGGAAAAACAAAAAAAAAAAAAATCCTTCTTTGAAATCCAGATCTCTCATGCCTCACGCAGGACGTCAAAATAAACAGGGACCCTTGGTCATGGGGCACAGGGTCTGGGAAGGCTCAGGACTCAAGGCCAGTGGTGGATTTAGCTACTTATAGTGTCTAATAGGTGATGCGATCCTGATTTCCCAAAATGGCACACTGAACCCCAAATATCCCTTGCTGCAGACTCCAGAAGGAAAAGAGAGAGGTCAACAGGATTTCTGCTCACACGGGCACGGAGCTGGAGGTGGGGGAGGCAGCAGACAGACAAGCCCTGTTGTCCTTCGGGCCCTTAAGGAGATAAAGTTGGCAACAAATTGCTGAAGCATAGCGTAAAATGGTCACTAGTGAGACAGGTGCCAAGCAATGGGGTCAGAGAGAAGAGAAGGAAGTCCTCCTGGTGAGGGTTAAGATGTGGGACATCAGGGCAGGACACAAAAAGGGATCATCTGACTGGAATACAGAGTCCAACTCTTACAAGCAGAGAGGCTGCGGGAGGCAGTCCAGGTGGAGGACACCATCAAGGCAAAGGCCGGGAGGAAGGGAGAGAAGAGGATGCTCGAGGCAGGTGGCAGCACAGTGGGGCTGCAGGGTGGGGCTGCAGAAGTGGGGGGGGCTGTCCTGCCCAGGAGCAAAGCAGGCCATGCTTTCCATGGGAGGCTGACTCCATCTGGTTAGGGGTTAGCAAACTATGCCCCACAAGCCAAACCTGGCCTCTGCCTATTTTTGGAACTACAGTTTATCTGGAGCCCAGCCATGCCCATTTGTTTAAAGATTGTGGCTGTTTCAATGGCAGAGCCAAGTGGTGAGACAGAGACCTGGTGGCCCCAAGAATAAATAGCTTGCCTTTGGCCAAGACACATTTGGAGATCCTTAATGTAGAACATGGACAAAGAACCCCAGGGTGATTGCCCAGGACCCAGCTGAGGCCCGGGAACAGAGAGAGAGAGCAAAGGTATGTTGGTCAATCATGCAAAAGTAGGTCTGACCTCCCCCCACCCACCCCACCAGGCTGCCTCTTGGCAAAACTCAACCCCTCATCAGGAGAAGGAAGAAAAGGAGATGGAGGAGAAAGAGGAGTTGTAAGTGCTGAGTGGCTTCTCTCCAGCCTCCTGCCCTGGTGGAAAATCTGATCCAGGAGGGGTTCTGGTCACCCAGTACCATCTGGGTCAAGGAACTAAGACAACGCAGTGTGTCCTGGGTACGCTTGGGGTGGTGAGGCCTGAGTTACATTCATAGCTCCCTACATCCGGGATCACTCTATGGCCACCTTGCCTAACAGCTGACCCCACCACAGAGGCCGGAAGTTGTGAATGACCAGAGAACATCACATTTTGGGAGGAACAGTGTTCCTGGGAGGCCTACTCCCACTTCCTAGACTCAGCGTAAGACGTCCCATCGGCCAAGTCCTCCGTGGAGTTCAGACACACTGAATCAGAAGCCAGGAGCTCAGTTCCAAATTTGGGGACCTTCCTCTCTCCTGGATTACTCCTTCCTTTCTGAGTCTCTGGCCTGGGTTCATCCTGAGGCTGAGACCAGGAGACTGGAAGGTTTGGAACCTGCTTTGTCCCCAAGGAGATGGAACGTCACACCACATTTTCTTAGGACACCCTTATCACACCCCTTCCTTCCTGCAGTAGAATCAGTGTAGCCTTTCTGAACATTGGGTACTTTGGGCCTTCTGCGCATACAATGCAGAACCAAGCTTAAGCAACAAAGCATTTAAAAGTTAAACACTATCATTTCAGGAAACCACTTGATGCCAACTTGTATGGAAACACCAACTCGGAAGCTAAAATCTCATGCCAATGGAAGGTTATATGGTGGTCGGTTGATTCAGAATTTTTAAGTTATTACTAAAATGAAAACAAAATGTAACATTTCTCAAGGAAAAAAAGAATTCCAAAGCAGAGTTCTCAGACCTTGGAGAAAACATTCACACAGTCCTTCCAAGGGTCTTTGGGCCCCAGTGTGAATGACTCTGTGTGCAAGTGAGGACCCAGGCTATGGAGGTAGGCTGGTTTGGGCTTTTATTGGCCTTTGACCCAGCTCTGTCTCCAGTGACCAACACACAGCTGGTGCACGGTAAGTCATCAGTTCAACTTGGTTGAATGAATGAATGAAAGGAGATGCTCAAGTCCTGGCTCTGCAGTCCATCAGCTGTCTCCTCCATCAGATCCTTAACTTCTGAGTCTTAGTTGCTTCATCTGTAAAACTTACAAACTTATTCATGGCTCAAAGAATTCCTGCAAGCATGAAATGAGACAGAGAGCCCTTGGCACAACGATAGGTGCATTCAAGGACCAAATAAATGGTGACTCCCATTGTTACTTTGCAAAGATGGCTTCACTTCCATATGTAAGACCTCTCGCCAGATCTTCACACCCTCTCAATTCCTTCATGGCATGTTCTGTTTTGGTAAATTTCTAGCACAGAGTCTGGCACAACGAGGAACACAGAAAACATCTGTCGAAGCAGAATTCCGTAGAGAGCTTCTCTGATCCAGAAACCCCAGCCTCGGATAAGCGCCAGGGCTGAGGATGGTATTATGTTCAGCCTCCTCCATGGGAGGCCACCCTTTGGCAAAGAGCCCAGCCTTCCAAACTGGACCTGGGCACTCAAGGCCAAGCAGCTCACCTGTGTCCATAGGAGACGGGGCCAGGGCCCGTGTGCTCTGCAGAGGGTAGGGGTGCTGGCTCAGCCATTCTCCGGCTGTGCAGCCCTCTCCCCCATTCCTCCTCGTGCCAGCTCTGGCTAGCGTGGGCCTCCCCCCGAGGCAGTGTTCCCAGGCTTGAGCAGTAACAGGCTCTCCATTCTTTGCTGCCCTCGGCAGACCTGCCCCCCTCCACTACGACACTGCCTGATGCTCATGGGCAGCTACCCCCAGTCCAAGGGGAAAACATAGGCCTCTTGGGAACCTAGGGAGCAAGCTCAAGACCTGGTCTGTCCCCTTACCCAGGAGAAAGAGAAATTGGCCTGATTCACTTGCTGAGATAGACTCACAGGGTCACTCACCCTTAGACTGCAAATGTCATTTGGCTTTGGGCATCTTCAACAAACAGTCCTTACTGGCCACACTGTTTTCTCCAAATGAGGGAGAAATCTGACATCTTCCCTTTCCTGATCTTCACTCCTTGGGCCAGGTTCCAGCAATGTCCAGATGTCAACCCTCAGCTCCCTGCCTCCAGGGTGACAACCACTGGGTGGAGGGACCGGGGCTATCCCCAAGTTCAAGGCTTGCTGCCCACTGGGGATCCCAGCCCCCACCTCCGTCTCCTTCTCACATTTGCCTGCCGAATCCCACTGGCGAGAATCACCAGCACTCAACCCTACATCTGCCATCTCCAATCCAGGGAGGAAGAAGCAGCATGAGAATCTTTCACTTACCAAGTTCATCGAGCTATTTTCCAACTTTCTTTTTAGGGATCCTGAGCTCAGTCCTCAAGAATGATCCTCTTATGTCCCAGGGCCAGAGCTGGGCAGTAGGAACCCGGGGCCACAGTAGGAGTCCTTTCGTGGACATGGATTTCTGGTAGTGTGCACTTGATTCAAAGCAACCCCCACCTCCTCCTCTGGAAGCTCCAGCTCTCAAATCAAGCCCAGGAGGGTCCCAGCTGCAGCCCAGGCAGCACCCAGCAGGGGAGGCAGGGCTGGCTGTCAGAGTAGCACAGAATCCAGCTGTCTTTCTTAAAGGGAAAGCCTGCTGGAGAGAGTCTGCAGGGGGGTGGAAACCTAGGAAGGAGGGAGGAAGGAAGAGAGGGAGGGTGAGCCAGTATCCTCCAGGGAAAAGCTCTGAACAAGCTCCAGGACCCTGACTTGGCACGAGCCTGGTCCTGAGGACTCACAAACTTGTCTATCTTCCATACGTGCAGAACAGGGGCAGAGAGCCCCTTCTCCAGGAGTGGGTTTGACCACTGCAGAGCCTAGTCGGAGCTGGACTCACCCAGGCAGTGCATCACTTACCTGGTAACAAATATGAATGACTCACAGTGTCCTAAGGGCTCTGCAGGAAGAAGCAGGAACTTCAGGAGGTAGCTACCACTATTGGTCGTAGTCATTGTTCCCATTTTATAGATGAGGAAGCTGAGGCCTAGTGAATGCCAGTCCCACAGGAAATGAGTGGGCAAGTTAGGATTGAATAAGAGCCACTATACTGGGTTTCAGCCACTAAGCTTCTTGGAAGAGCCACACAGTGTGAAAGCCACACTATGTCAATCTGCAACTACAGCTGAAATACCCACCAGGGTCAAGTTCAGGCCTTAGGACAGGGGACATTCAGGATAAGGTGTCTGCCCTCAAAATACTCAGTGGAAGGAAATCCCCTGCCCCCAATGCTGATACCCACTTTGTCTGGAGAGTGGAATTACTTATGCTTTTTATTTTTCATCTTTATAGTTTTCTGCATCTTCCACATTCCCAAATAAGCAGTTATTCTTTAGAAAGAGTAAAAAATAATAATAATAAAGCTTCCAAATCCTATCTCCCATTCAAATGTTTCAAACAATCCAGACTAGATCAAGAAGGGGCAGTATTTTTCAAGGAAGTTCTAAGAGGCAGGAGAGACCAAAATTAACACAACAGGGCAGCAGAACTGTAATTAAATCTATTTGAGTACAGGTTTACCTATTATAGACCCAGAGGCAGGCTTTGAAGAAAATATAAAAACAAACAAACAACCCCCCCCCCCAAAAAAAAAACAGGTTTTTTTTTTTCTTTCAGTCAAAACTGAAAAAAAAAATTAAAACCTAGTAATTAAAAAAATGCAATGAAGTCCAAATTCCTCCTATGTTATTTAAGACCCTTCATAATTTGATCTTCAAATCCTTCTGCAGCTTCCCTCCCACACTGTCCCACCCACCCCACCCAGCAACCAGGCCAGACTACCAGAGGTTTCCATGAGCCTATCCAGTTTTCTGCCATTTGTTCAACCGGTGCCTTCTGCCAGGGACGCCCTCTCTTTCCTCCTCTAAAGACTTTGATGCCTTTCAAGACCAGGCCCAATTCACTGCTGCTATGGAGCCTTCTAACCCAGCAAGCAGAAATGATTGCTCCCTTCTCTGAGCTCCCCAAAGCTTTGCCCTGGCCCATGGTCTGAATGTTTGTGTCTCCCCAGAATTCACATGTTGAGGCCTATTCCCCCATATGATGGCATTAGGCAGTGGGGCTTTGGGGAGGTGGTCAGGTCATGAGGGTGGGGCCCTACTGAATGGGACTAGTGCCCCTACGTAGGACACCCCATAGAGCTGCTTCACCCCTTACCCATGTAAGGACATAGTGCAAAGATAGCCATCTAGGAACCAGAAAGCAGACCCTTACCAGATATCAAATCTGCTGCTGCCTTCATCAGGGACCTCCCAGCCTCCAGAACTGTGGGAAACCTGTTCATTGTGTGAGTCTGCCAGTCTCTGGTATTTTGTTGCAGCAGCCCAAACCGACTAAGACACCATCCAGAGCATGATAGTAGAGCTCTCACCACACTATATTCCGATTAGATTAGTGCCTTTGGTCACTTTGCTATCCCCTGCACCTAGCACCCAACATTGGTGAAATAAAACAGCACATGATAATAACAGTTGTTATTGTTTGAGGTCAAGTGTGGATTTGCAGCACTTCATCACACATCTTCTCATTTGAACTTCATGTCACTGGGTGGAAATCAGAAGCATCAATTATGACTATTAGTGTTTGGGAGTTCTTGCAACTCTGACCTTTGAATGTTAGGTTTACCCAAATGGCACTGAAAGGCTGGCAAGGTCCCCTTTTAGCTCAGCCAGATCATTGCCATCTTGCCCCCCACCTCCTCATGCCTCCCAGTGCTCTGACTCAACATACCCTTGCCCTCAAGTCCCTCTCCAGCCAGGCAGAGGCACAGTGGGCACCAGGGTGATCCTTCCTGGCTGGTGCATACCATGTGGTCTCTTGGCTGGGGTGTGCAGCAGGTCAGGGTGCTAATGAGGCCACAGCTTCAAATTAGAACCCAAAGCAATTCTGCCACCTTCATGAAGGAAGTCCCTGCTACCAGAATCCTCTCAGCTGGACCAAATCAGGCAGCCAGTGCACAAGCCCTGGCATCGGGGCCACCCGGACAGGGTGTGGACCAAAGGCATACAAAATGCCAGAGCTAGGAGGAAAATTCTAGATCACATTGCTCCGACTCTTCCCTTGTCAGCCAGGAAAACCAGAGTCCAGACTGGGAAGGAACTTGTCAAAAACACAGAATGAGACAGTGGCAGGATGACAGCTGGCTCCTGAGCCCTTTCCGATGAGTCTGATCCAAGCAGGAAAAGTCAAGTTCAAGGGATGGAACCCAAAGTAAACCACAAAGACCAAATTAATTAGCAAAGCATTCTTTAATGACACCAATGATATAAATGATTCTTGGATACAACACCCCACAGAGAGAACTCGGAACGAGATCAGGACAAAACAGAGGAAGATGTTCAGTAATAGTAATCAAATTAGTCACCAGGGAGGCCAAGCCATGTCCTACCCCATCTCCTTCCTTTCCATCTCCTACAAATAAAAGGAGGGCATGTGGGTCTAAGGTGAGGGCTCATTCTGCATCCACCAAGCAGCAAGCATTTCAAATGGGGATATCACAGAGTGATGCTTTCCTTCATCCTCAGATAAAATTATTTATAGTTGTGCTAGTTATTGATCCTCAACCCTAGCTCCAGGCACGTGTCAGAAAATACTTCCTGGCCAGTTTGTTTTTGAGGGTGGCCACAAGGTTAATTCGGGTCCATGAGCTAAAAGTAGAAATCAAATGTTGTGATGGTTAACTTTATGCGTTAGCTTGGACAGGCCATGGAAACAGATATTTGGTCCAACATGAGTCTAGATGTTTCATGAAGATGATTTTTTTTAGATGAGATCTACATTTACATCAGTAGACTTTGCATAAAGTAGATCACCTGCCATAATGTGTCCATCCAAACAGTTGAAAACCTCAAAAGACCGAGGGTCCCCCAAAGAAGAAAGATCTCACCCCCACCTTGCCTTCAGACTTAAGCTGCAACATGAGCTCTTCCCTGCTGGCCTGCAGGTTCTTAGTGGTCTAGAGCTTTTAGTCAGCAGGACCAGGCTCTCTTTTCCTCTAGCCCAGGCAACATTAGCATCTGAGGTGACATCAGTTCTGCCAGCCTGGGTTCCTTGGTGACTAGAATGAGCACAGCAGAGCCCCTCTGCCTCTGCTGACCAATAATAGGTAGCCTGAATAAGAAATAAACTCCTGTTATCCTAAGCTGTCGGAATGTGGAAATTGTATGTTATCAAGCATAATCTGACTGAAGCGCTGGCTGTTCAACTTGGATTTGAGATGCTAGAGTGGAGGAGACACATCCACAGAACTAATAGAACCATAAAAGGATTTGGATACTGGTGTCCCATTGAGAGTCACAGTTATTTATCTTGGGGTCCTGGGAGTCTTTATCCAGAATCCAACCACAGATGTGTAAATGCATTAAAGGTACAATCTCACTAGCGAAACTTCCCTAGAAAATGTTCAGAGTTCTGCTGAGGAATCTGACCTGGACCTAGAATGGGAAGCTCTCCAAAGAACAAAAGTTTCCACTACGGCAACAGGAATGTTAAACATGATTAAGGAAAAAAAAAAATCTCAGTACTAGAAATGCAATGTGAGTATTTATAAGCCAAAAACCAAAGGCCATTCATTCCCTGGTGCCTGTGATGTTTCCTGCTCCATGGGGAGGGTCAAGAGGACTGGAGAGGGTCCAGAGCAAGATGTCCTTTGCTCAGATGCAGACGGGTGACATGTGGAGCCTTTGAGGAAATGCAATTACACAGCGCTGATGGTTCCCCCTGAAAATCCAGGGTGAGCCAGAGACTGCTGGGACTCTGTTATCTCTCTTGTCAATAGATACACCCAGTCTTCTGACCTTAAATACACTGCAGAGATAAACTCTGGGGCAGAATAAGATGTTCTGAGCTTAAACTATTACAGGAAGCATTTAGCTTAGTGGCTGTCAATGGGGTGTATTCCCCACCCCACAACCTACCTCCAGGGGACATTTGGTGATTTGGGGAAATGTCTTGGGTTGTCACAACTGGACAATGCTATTATCATCTACTGGACACAGGACAGGAATGCTACTGAACATTGGACAGTACACAGCATGGTCCCACACCACAAAGAATTATTTGGCCTAATACCAAGGTTAAAAAAACCCTGGTTAAAACAAATGGCTAGTTATGTGGGTATGGAGGGTTAGAACAAAGGGCAGGAAGAACATTGACAGAGTGATGGAAAAATTACAGATAAACCAAAACTCTACCACCAGAGCACTTTGAGGGTTAGCCCAGTTCGTATCTAAAGAGAACTAAATTTCACCGCTGCTCTCTTCTTTCTGTGCAGGAGGAATGCCGCTCAGGAATCAGATGGGGATGGTCCATTATCTGGAAGATGTCTTTAGATTTGCAAAGTGAA